AACAAAACAGAACATAACATTTCACAACCAGCTGAAATGTAAAGTCTCTTTGCTGTTGGCTGGAATTAAATTATCTAGTTTGGTAACACCCGCTACCTCATGATGATGAGAGGTTTTGGTGAGAATTAAAATAGAATTGTTCAACACAATAAAAAAAAAAAAGAAAGCTTTCAAAACACGCAGATCATGGGGTAGAATAATAAAAAAAATCCTTTATGTAAAAAGTTGGCAAAACCTCCGAGGAGGCTCCAATATACTAATTTTATAGATGAGTATAGCTATAAAACTGAGATTTAGACAACTTTGCTGTTATCGATCCCTTCTCTTTACTAACGTCCTTTCATTCTGTTATATTAATACACAATTTAATAGTGATGCAGGGCTGGTAGAGGCCATAGAAAGTCCCCATACTTGGATTCATGCTCTGGTGTTACCATCTTGAAATTCTTATCAAGTTTTGAAGGAGGGCTCTGCACTTTCATTTTGCATCAGGCCTCACAAATTAGGTAGCTGACCCTGCAGCTATGCTTATGTTTTTCTTAGTATTTCATTATTTCTGCTGCAAGACAAAGCTATCTAGGAGATTTCCTTTTGGTGTTTCTCACCTCTTTTCGTAAGGTGTCTCTCACACAGGTGACTAGTAGAGACAGAGACACAAGGAGGACTGAGACCTTGGTCTGTTCCTCTTTTCATTATAAGTGCTAAGCTTGGTGCTTGGTACAGTCTATGTGCCCAATGAACAGTTAACAAAAACCTTTGACTTCTTTCATTGACAAAACATTCAAACTTTAATCGTTTTAGTTCTGCCATGAAGAGCAACTTGGTGAATTGGGGGGAGAATAAAGGTAAAATATTCAAGGGAAAAAATCTTTCTTGGAAAGAATGAAATTGGATTGAGGGAAAGTTTAAAATAAGTAAGTTGGAAAGACAGGTTGAACTCCAGGTTGAATACCAAGTAATGGGTGGGAGGAGGGATGAATGGTTAAAAGTAGTCAGATGTCTCTCAACAAAGTCACATCCTGAGATGGAGTCTTTCTTCTCAAATTCAATTTAATACATCTTGGAAATTGTAGTTCAAGAAATGATCATTGTTCAAGTTTGGGGGGAACAGGATATAGAGGCTGTGGATTCAGCAAAAACCAAGAGATTACTGATTCTTCTTAGACTATTCCAAGAGTTCCTTGACCTACTGTTTTGCATTAAGAAGCAGAGTAACTTGAATTAAAACAAATACTTGTAAGTAGAAGTAAAATTTTTAATGTTTTCTCTGCCTCTAAGCACAATTGACAGAGCTCATGCTCTGGTTTCTCATTATCGTAGGTTGGCTAACCACATTTATTATTTAAACCATGAGAGTTTCCTACCCTATATTCACTTTGGGAAATATATTTCTAGCATTAATTTTTGTAAAATAAAATAAACAAAATACTCCTTTCTCTGGACTCTTTTATGTTGTATTTGATCACTTCTCATACAAATTGTATATCTCCTTAGTGAGGTTATCTCTTAATGGTCTATTGCCTTTATCCTGGATAACATACTACAGTTCTACCCATCTTTAAAGAGCTTCCCTATAGCATAGTCTTGTCTTATTTTCTCTATTGTTGCTACATCACACTCGAATAAGTGACTTAAATTGTGCGCAGATGTTCAGGTGTGGCTTTAATTTCTTTTTATATTCCAGGATAATAAGTTCTTTTAACATATTCATTACTTCTATTATGGTTCTCCAAATTATGCATGGTGCTGTTATAATGCCGGTTCACTGAATATTAAAGATATGGGAGCAAGCAATTTTACGCTTCAGGTGGTTATTTATGGGAAAATTCAATTTCTGAAGTATGATGGTGGGCTAGAGGTGGTGAATAATAGCACTGACATTCACAAGCAAAGGGAAGCAACCGTGGAAACAAGCATCTGGGGGAAAGATAGCAGAGAAGGAGAGAATGGGAGAAGAAGTGGAAGCATATCAGTTAGGGACACTCAGACTGTAGCCAGGCAGTGGTGAGGTGTGAGGGTCATACATCTGAGCTCCAATCTGGTGTGCTTGCTGGGCCAGGGAAAGAATTACAGGACTTGGTGTGATGCACAACAGAATTTCATAGACCATTTCTAATGGAAAAGGAGATGGAAAAAAGGTAGCTTTTTCAATTGAGAGGAATGTAGATTTTTAGCTCCCTAAATCTCTACTGGAATAGAATTACAGGGCTACAAAACATATTCTGTGGTAGGCAAGAATGTTCCTCATTCTCAACCTTGAGGAAAGTGACTATGCAGACAATCCAATAACGGTATTGAACAAGAATGTGGATGGCAGAATCATCTTTATTGTTCCCATTTTTATGTGACTCACACTTGAATAAGAGTGCTTTAGGAATTTGGCAGCTGGAATTGTAACTGGCACTAGAAAAATTCCACATAGAATATTCGTCTTTAGTTCTGTGGAGCCTGTACTCTCAACTTTACAAACCAAGTGAATGAAGGAATGGGAGAGAAGAAATGACAGGGTAAAAAATACTTTGAGTTTTATTTTACAAGCCAACATTAAAAACAGCAATATTCAAGCACCCAGGTTCCTTCAATTACCAGGAATTTTGAACTTAAAAACAAGAGTAAAAATAAAAAAGAAGAACCAGAACCATTTGTTCCCTTTTTATTGTCTAAGGCCAACCAAGCAGAGAGGCAAGCTATTTTTTTAAACCAATTTTAGAAAAGTAATAAAAATACAGAATAGGAAATTGGCAACTTGATCAAACTCACTTCAAATGGAAGTTTGAGCTGAATGTTACATGAATATTCAGACAACAGCCACGTGTTCGAAATTGCTCTTGAGTATAATTCCAAAATTTATTCATTTTTATCATCTCCCAGGCAAAAAGCCAAAGGCTAAAAGAGCAGAACATGAGAAAACTGAACCTGAATTATGTTCTAAACCCTGTTGAGTTTAATTTTACTCACAAAGCAGAATGTTAGTTTGCTGCTTAAATGTGGCCTTCACAGCCCTGTAAAAAGACCTAATTTCTCGTTATCAGCATCTAAACTGTATGACTCATTTGAAAAGCACCAATTTCAAGAGCTTCATTCTAAATTACTGAGCAAGTGCTACATAATAAACACAAATAATCTCAAACAGACTGTAGCATGAGAAGAAAGCAATTTTCTAGAAATTTGACTGCAGGGTGAGATGCGCAGTTCCGTGAGCCTTGTAACTTTGAAAGGCATAGAGCAAAAATTTTAGCTAAATGCAATATTGTGAGAAGATGAGCCCTTAAAAAGTGCTTTATAATAGGCAATACAGATACATAGTCTTGATATAAACTTGTAAAAAAGTTCAAACAACCTTCTGAACAAAAACAAACACACACACAAATGAACAAGCTGCTACACACCCGGATACACACTTGCTTCAAATCAACATTTTACTCGGACCAATGATGGATGCACTACCAACATCAATAAGCCGTGGATGAAACATACAACTAGAACAAAGAGATGATGAATCTTACTATACACCTTACATTTTTTTTTTGCTCAAGATTTTTATAATATTGATAAATTCTTAAAAATTCAAATTGGAAAACACTCCAAGTAAATAAGAAATAAGATAATCTAAGATATACGTTTCTGCCGTGGATTGTGAAATTTTGATTTGCAGAGATCGTGCAAGGGGTCTTAGCATGCAATAAGCATAGCACACAAAGTGTAATTAAGACCAAAAGAGAGAGGAACAAGGTGAGATTCTGGAATGTTCTAGTTTGTGTCTTGAATGGTAGTTTCATGGTGTGTTCACTTTGTGATTTCTCTTTGAGCTGTACATTTGTACACTTATAATTCATAAAATTTTCTGTACTCTGTGTCTCAATAAAATGTTAAAAGGAGGAGAAAGGAAGAAAAAGAGAGGGAGAAAGAAAAGGAGGAAACAAAGACGGTTGGGAGAAAGAAGAAAGAAAGAAAAAAGAAAGAAGGAAGGAAGGAAGGGAGGGAGGGAGGAGGGAGGGAGGGAGGGAGGGAGGGAGGAGGGAGGGAGGGAGGGAGGAGGGAGGGAGGGAGGGAGGGAGGGAGGGAGGAAATGAAGAAAGAAAGGAAGGAAGGAAGGAAGGAAGGAAGGAAGGAAGGAAGGAAGGAAGGAAGGAAGGAAGGAAGGAAGGAAGGAAGGGAGGAAGAGAGGGAGGGAGGGAGGGAGGGAGGGAGGGAGGGAGGGAGAGAGAGAGAGAGAGAGAGAGAGAGAGAGAGAGAGAGAGAGAGAGAGAGAGAGAAAGAAAGAAAGAAAGAAAGAAAGAAAGAAAGAAAGAAAGAAAGAAAGAAAGAAAGAAAGGGAGAGAATGCAAGCTAGGAGCTACATTTCCATTCTGAGAAATAATGAGGTGAAAGAAATTGGTACTGTTATTTACTTAATTCAAATAATATGTAGCTTTATAGGGTCATACTAGTTGGCAGCCAGGTTCATAGTTAAAAACCACTTAACTGTCGTTTCTGCACAGAAAATTGTATTGACATTTTCAGACTTTAAAAAAATCCCTATCACTTAACAGTTGTAAATGCCATTGTAATAGGCATGCTGTTAGTTTTCCTGTTTGGGGAAGCAGAATTTAGAAGTCAGTGGAGGAAACACATGCCTGGAGACTCCACTGACTTTGCATTTGAAAAAAAACACATATAGACACAAACACATTTTATCTCTGTATTGTATTCCAAGGGTCTTTGCGGCTCAACTGTTTGCAATTTCTGTTTGGCATTAAATTAATTAAACACTTAGTGACCCACTTATTAGTAAAGGTGTTTTGGACCCTGAAGCTGGTTCTGTAGGTTTTTGTCTGTTACTAAGGAGCAGTTTTCCATGTAATATTTTCAAAGGCAAAAGGTTAAGCAAAAATGACATATATTGTAAAATTGAAAGTAAAATGCACAGTACTGATGTGCTCAAAGTCCATGCATTTAAATTCCTTTGTATGATAATTTATGGTGATCATGTCTTCAGACTGCACTATTAGCATACTCACCCCTAACAAGAAGTTCTGCCTCATCTGACACACTGTCTGCTGTGGTCTGTACCCTGCAGCCATATCTCCCAGCATGCATCAGAAGGATGTTCCTGATCATTAAATCTGCAGAGGATGCTTGCTGAAAGAGGGATGAAGTGCCAGTTTAAAATGTTGCAAATCTGCCTAGTTCAAGGTGGTTTAAGGGGAACTTTGCATATTTAGTCTAAGGGCCCATTTTTGGCCTTACCATTTATAAGACAACAATTCAGAAATTAAACATGCCCTAATTTAAGGAACACATGGAAGTTATGTTTTCAACAATTGCTGATACAGGGTTTGAACATTAAATATCGCATATAATAATTTAGCATCTACAATCTCTAAGAAATATTTAAATATGCACACAAACTCATATCTTTAAAAGTATAAGAAAAATAATCATTGAGCAAAAATTATTGCTTTGCTATTCAGAGACAGGCCTATTTTTGTGGCAAGAAAATAGCATTGAAAGAAACAGTAGCTTGTGAAAATTACTTATGAGAAGACAGCAGTGAAAAGATTATCATGTATGGCTTTATTGAATGACTCTTTTTGTAAATACACCATGGGAACGAGATTGTGCTTAGATAAAGACTGCTGATCCCAAGACCATGTATTCCTCCCATGATCATGATTTCAGCCTCCTACAACTGAAACCTGGGCTGCCACAACACGAATCCCCCATAAACATCACGATGGGAGCAGGGTCAACCTAAGTCTTTGTTAATCCATGCAGATACAAAACCCCAACGGGGCTCAAAACACCCGATTCTTGAGTTCAGCAAGATGTTTAGAACATGGCTGAAGAGCAAATGCAGGTGGGGAGATCCATAGTTCCAGAAAGAGTATCTTTTGGATGTTGTCAGTTCATGGGATCAGTGATGCTCCCCCTACATCTAGAATGACTGGTGCAACTCTTCATTACCTAATCTTGTCTTTCCTTCCCATGAATATGTAGAGATCTAGCATTTACAATCACTCACTCATGAGGTAGTTTTGTTTTGTTGTTTTTTCCTAGATAACAATGCAGCAAAACTCCAATACACTTTGCATTTTTCACATTGCAATTAAAAAACAACAAAACAACAACAACAATTGACTGGAATGAGAGCAGATGCATGTAGCTTGAAATGACATATTCAGAGAACTCAACACTCTCCAACAGCAGTTGAGCATGTGAAAGAATGTTTAAAGCACATTATAGAGAAGCACCCCAGATAAGAGATTTTTAATTTTTGATAGGATTGTGAATTGCCTTTAAAAATAATGCATTTGTCCTTAGAGGGCAGTATTCTGATTATTTAAGAAATTAACTGTTTGCATTTATTTTTAAATAGACAAATGAGTTATATGAAAAAGAGGGATTTCTAGAAATACTTTGTATGTTTTCTTCCTTAGCATTCATTTTCAGCATCTAAATTGATTACTTAACTGTATACTATGTTTTCATTTTTTTCTGGTATTTCATTGCTGATTGTTATATATATAACAATCTTATAAGAACTTCTAAGGGTGTTGAACTTTTCTCTCATCAAATAATTGTTAAGACATGATCTGGTTTAGTCATTTACAAGGGAATGTTTCATAGTGAGAATACATTAAAATGTCATAACAATTATTTCAAGGAATGTGATATTTGTTCAGTAAATGTCCTATCCTGCTAATTTCTTTAGGATAAATTATTACTCTTAAATCTCATTTTCTCATCTCTACTAGACTAAGGAAGTACTCACTTCTTTCAAGTCAGAACAGGAAATTTACACTTTAATGACTCTTGCCTATTATGGGGCAACACAGAAAACTGTAAACATTATAAGCCATAATTCAGCTTCAAATAAGCATCTTTTAATAAGGTATAAATAGGCTTCAACATTTTTGTATATGGGCCCATTTTAGATGTGAAAATCTCCTTTTCCCTCCTGGATTCCTAAGAAGCTCTCCTGATGGGGTATTCAATTAAATGAATCAGGAATCAAATTTAAAATCATGGGCACAGAATGGGGCTTATGTCTAATGGAAAAGCTAAGGAGAGGCCCAGAACATTAGAAAGGATGTTATTATTTCCTAAAATGTGCTTCTGGAAGGCCGAGGTTGGTGTTTTGGGTTTGTTTTATTTGTTATTTTTTATTTGCGTCTTTGTTTTTCACTATCACAGGCTGGTGGTGATTTAAAAATAATTATTATAAGCCATTCTTGAGGCTCACATTTTTGAAAAAGTATTTTGTAAAATCACATTCCTGTGACTAAAGAATTGTCTTATTTTTCAGACCTTTTTCTTCCAAAATATTGTTGTTTTTTTGGTCCTAAACCTTTGTCCTTTATGTTGAAATATATTGAAATAAAAACTTAAAGGATTGAGAAGAGCTTTCGTTAAAAATCTCCAAGGAGATCAGGAGGGATGGAGAGATGCATATTATCATTCCTCTGTTGTCCTTCACTTAGTTCCTGCAATTAATAGTGTGCAATGCCTTATAAGCTGGCTGAAGCTCTGTCACCATCTATCAGGAATAAAAAAATCTACCATCTATTGTATATTTATCCATACCAACACTATGTGAGGAGTTGAAATCTCACTTTGGGTCCATCCCTTCTCTTTAGGATTATATCTGTATTATATTTTTAAATAGGGAAAATTAAAAATAAAATGAATGGATTGTGAACACTAAACCTACATTACCCTTTTAGTAGATTTACTGGTCTTTCAAAAGAAGTAATGAGAAGGATTCATGTGGGGACCCATTACACTGAATCTCAGCCCACAGGATGGAGTTCCTGAGAGAGAACCTTCGCAGTGTAGGGCACTGATAAGAAAATGGTTATTTTGAGCCGATACTGGCTTCCTTAAGCTTAAATCTCATTTTCCCCTTTTTTCTCTCTCTGGAGCTACTCTCTCTTGTTTTCTCTCACATTTGCTTTATATCCTCTGTTTCCTTTGCTGCTTTCTTTGGCTTTATGAGCAAATCACGTTGCTTCAAACATGTGTCCTCCACCAGTAATTAATACAGTGCTTTAAGCTTTGGGCATCTAATACAATGCCCGCCACATAATGAGAGCTCCGTGTATATTGGTTGAATGAATGAGAGACTCTTTATGAAAGAGGTTGCACATCCACTCTGTGAGACCAGCAACTCGGCGAAGTCATTTACTGTTCTTGGCCCCATAGTGTAACTTTTAGAGCAGTTGCTGAATTATCTAGGGAATGTCATCCTTTCACAAGTCCAGTTCTTAAAGGCTTTTACTTTGACTAAGGGTACTGATCAAATACTTCCTAAAAAATGGAAAGCTCATTGAACTTTGCTATTCAAAGTGTCTGCTGGCTCTTATGGCCCTGAAGAGAAAGTCCAATTTCCTTATTTCAACACAGAAGGACCCCCCAGCTATGAGTTCACCTCCCACGACTGAAGGAACCCTGGGTTGCCTCAACACTAATCTCCAGTTTCCCGGTGCCTGGGGATCCTTCCCTAACTCCACCTACTCTGCTACCGCAGATGCTCTTTCTCCTTTGCCCGGAAAGACACTTTTAGATGCAGCTCAAAAGACTTCTCCTTGGTTAAGCTTTTCCACACATTCCCCAGGCTTCCTTAGTGCTCACACTGTTTCGATATTTGTACTTCAATGGCACTTCACTCCTGTCTCTGAGCTAGAACTTGGCTTTCTTTCTTTCTTTTTTAAAAAAAAATATATTTTATTGATTTTTTACAGAGAGAAAGGGAGAGAGATAGAGAGCTAGAAACGTCGATGAGAGAGAAATAGTGACCAGCTGCCTCTTGCACACCCCCCACTGGGGATGTGCCCGCAACTAAAGTACATGCCCTTGACTGGAATCGAACCTGGGATCTTTTAATCCGCAGACCGACACTCTACTGCTGAGCCAAACCGGTTTCGGCGAGAACTTGGTTTTCTTGAAAGTCTCCCCAAGTCCACCTGGAAGTCCCCCAGGGGCATTCCCAGAGCTGAGCTAGGTAGCGATGCAGCCGATGATTACTTGGTGAGCAAATGGATGCATGAGGGCTTCCTTCCTTCCTTCTTTGTCCCTGATATTATCTTCCCTCCCCCTTTTTCTCTCTCTCAAAGAAATTAGGGAAGGCAAGGGAAAAGACTATGGAGAAAGACAGTAGGAAAGAATACTTAAAACCTACATACAGATTTTGGAATGACAAAGAATCTTGTGGACTGCTCTACAACTTATTACATTTTGAACTTGGGAAAATTACTCCACGGCGTAGAGTTTCTCTCGCAGATTCAATGTGATAATGCAAGTAAAGCCCATAGTAGGGTGTCAGGCACATAGGTGTGTTTGATAAATGTTATCTGTTAAAGGGCACTGCACTTCCGTTCTTAGCCAGGAGAAATATTTCTTTAAGTGGTATTCACTCCTTCAACAAACTAGGTATCAACGTTTCCCGTAGGTGTAGTAAGTTTCCTAACTACCTGGCTTTATTTTAGACACAGACATCCTCCTTTGCTCTCTTACAGAAAACCTCTGCACTCAGAACAAGCAGACATGAGGTCTAGCTTTAGCTTCAAAGCCCTGAAACTACAGGAAAGTTCTTTTCTTTTTGGATAACAGCTGCTCTGTTTTTCTCAGGAATTGAGGAAAATCAAGTGAAGCAATGTATATATGTGTACTACTGGGAGGTGCAAATTACTCTTAAGGCTATTTATTTATTTATTTATTTATTTCACCCCCACCAAATTTGAGTAAGTACTCTGAAAAGGTTTGGGGAATGTATCCCGCAAACAAAAAGGTAAATGGAATGTTCTCAAAAATGGTGGACTCATGCCGAATGAGTCAGCCAAAACCCTGCTGGATGTAGCAATTTGCATGCCCTCATGTAGGGTCTACTTCACTTTCTCAAGGGGCTCACATAGGGCCCATCAGCATCCCCAGCCCCCAACAAACAGACATTTGAACCATTCCTCTACAGAAATTCTATGAGAAACAATTTTCTAACATGAAAAACTGGGTGTTAGGATGAGACACTTATTAAACTTCTGTAGTTTAAAGATTTTTCTGGTCACAGTATTTTTTCCCAGAGGATAGTTTGTTTCAAATATCCTACAATATGGAAATAATAAACATACGTTTTCCTTTTACAA